GGGCCGGGGCAGCGGGAGCCCGAGCGCCGCGCACCATGGCCGCGCAGGGCGAGCCCGGGTACCCGGCGGCGCAGTCCGACCCCGGCTCCAACAGCGAGCGCAGCACCGACTCGCCGGTGCCCGGCTCGGAGGACGACCTGGCCGGGGCGCCCCCGCACAGCCCCGAGTGGAGCGAGGAGCGCTTCCGCGTGGACAGGAAGAAACTCGAGGCCATGCTGCAAGGTAGGCACTGCGCTGCGCCCCGCGGGACCCCTCCCCGCGCCAAGCTGCCGAGCTCCGGGAAGCCCGAGGTCGGGACTCTGTCCTGCCGCGCCCTGCGTGCCATCCCGACGTCGGAGATGCAGGCTGCGGCCGGCCACCTGGGCTGCGTCCTCCCGTTGCGCTGGGACCGCCGGGGGCGCGCGGATCCGTCCCCTCCGGGCGTTGGGAGTCCCAGCTCGGCTCGGCGCTCCCGGCCGTCTCCCTCCCCGGGTCCGTATCCGCTTCCTCCCGCGCGGGGGCCTCGCCTGGCCGGGAAACGCGCCGCAGATGTCAAGGCTTCCGACGCGCGCCCGCCCCCTCGCCGGAGCCCGGCCGGCCGGGGTGAGCGGCCCAGGCGTGGGGACCGAGTCCGGCAGGGCGAGGACGGCGTGCGTCGGTTCCCGGACGGGCTCGTAAAAGACACCGAGTTAGTCACTTGGTAAAACTCCTCCCTGAGCCCCGGCCTTCTGACTCTGTCTTTCACAGTTTGGTTTTTTAAAAAATCTTCAGCGTTTCTGGGACTTTCCCAGGAAGAGAAACCACCACCCTGGACTGGAAACAAACTCTGATTTACCGCGTGAGGCTAGGAGCGCATGGAGCGAAGGCCTGACACAGCCAAGGTCATTCTGACCTTTAAAAATGCTCGCCGGACTACCTGCGGGCACCTGTGGGGCGCACCGCCCGCGTGGGATGGGCATGGAGAGCTGTGCGCGGAACGCGCGGTCGGGGACAGCGGCGAGGAGACCTGGGGACCTTCCCCACGCAGGGCTCGGCGTGCACATTCCTTTTATTGGCTGTATGCATGACTTATTTTGACTTTATCAGCCAGTGTATCGCAAAATGGGGGCGACGGAGCCTTCCCTGGAAAAGCAGTGGCTTTTGAGAACAGGGTTATTTTAAGGGAGAACATGTTTTCCAAAACAATAACTTGGTGGAAACAAATGTCAGGAGTGTCTGGCTTGCATTTCTGGATGGGCTGTGAACTCAGCTCCTGGCTTATTAAGATCCCTAGTGCTTGTCTTGTCTACGTCTCTTCTCTTAAATTAAGTAACTTGGTAGGAGAGCGATGGGTTTAAACATTAAAGCCCTGGTTACAGTTCAGTAACTCATTTGTGGTAATCTTCCCTGGTTTTGCCTGGTTTCTGAATAGGAAACAAATGTTACGTTTATGTTGCAAAAATAAGATTGGATTGAACTGATAAGATCGCAGACCGATCCGTTTCAACTGCTTTCCAACTAGCTCTCTGCCTGAGTGGGAAACTGCGAAGGGCTTCTGATGGTTTTAGTAGACAGCTCTAAGAACAAGCTCTAAGAACACCGTGGTGATTGCCCTTAACACGCCTTACTGGAAACAGATAAATACTAACAGTTTCTGCAAAGTCCATTCATATAATCTGAGTAGTCTAAGTGGATTTCATTTTTAGTGAATTAATTTCCATTTGGAACACAATAAAATATGATTGGAAACATTTTGAAACCTGAAGGCTAGCCTTCTTCTTATAGGTAAGCTGTTCGAATAATTGCATGATTTAGTTTAGCTTGCTTTGCAGTGGTCAGGTTTCTTTTCTTTTTTTTTTTTAAGCAAATATTTTATTTTATTTTATGTGTACAAGTGTATTGACTGCATGCATGTAAGTGCCCCCGTGTTGTGCAAAACCCACAGTGGGTATTGGATTCCCCTGGAACTGGACTTAGGGACCATTGTAAGCCACCATGCAGGTGCTGGGAATTCCTGGTCCTCTGCAAGAGAAGCCAGGGCTCTTAACCTCAGAGCCATCTCTCCAGCCAGGCACTGATCAAGTTTCTTTTACAGTAAGTTTTAACATTTCTTTGGCAACTTGTAAATAATGAAATATTCATTTAACAATTGAACAGTACATTGGTTAACTTTCCAGAATCACCTATAACTAAATTACCCTGTTGGGAAAGTAAGCTTCAAATTCATTTAAAAAAGAGCACACCGGGGAGTTTACATTTCCCAGCATCAGGTTCAGCAGGACAGCTACGTCTGATGAACCAGTGGTGATTGCGTACCGATTGCTTTTACTGTAGCAGGTGTGGGCACTGGAGTCTCACAGACCTGCCTTCAAACCTGCGTGGAAACTTGGGAAAGCTGCCGGGCCTCTCTCTGCCCTCAGTTTCCTCATCTGTAAAATGGGGTCTGATATTACAACTTTTCTCCTATGGTTTTGTAGGAATGGAAAGATCTAATGCCCAAGGAACTCAACTTGTTGCGGTGTTGGCAGTAAGGGCATCATAAATGCGGGTAGAGTCTATTATTACTACTGATAACTATTAACCTCCTGGGGCTTACCATGGTTTGAGACATAAGACTTCTATTTGATAGACAGCTGGGGAGCAGATCAGTTTTGCAAGCCATAGTTGCAAAAGTAAAATAGAAAGCAGGGTCAGACATCTGGCACAAATATTATTAGATAATTTAGGTTTCCACTTTTTCTCTAGAACGGGTCAGTTGTTTGGGCTTCTGGTGACTGTGAATTTGTGATTCACTGTTTTTCTTTTTATCATAGCCTTAAAAACATATGGGGTTTTCCATTTTAAATCAGTGTAAGGAAGACTGTTGGCCTTCCAGTCTTCAGAGTGTAAATTGGCAATTATAATGCTTGGAATTTGTTTTTAGAGAGACTTTCCTGGGGGCAAGTTAATCTTTAATAGGCTGTATTTTTATTAGTAGAGAAAGTCTTCTATGCAATGGACCAAAAATTCAGTGAGGTTAAAATATGGGCAGTAGGTTAGTAGTCAAAAAAATAAAATAACATTCCTGCATGATCAGTGAGTCTAAAATCATTGATAGACATAAAAACCACCAGACCAAAATACAGGGAAAAAGTACTATTTTTTTTCATGTTTTTTTTTTTCCTTTTTAAAAAATAACTACTTTGAAATAGCCATAAAGAATGTCTGGCATTTATGTTGGCATCTCAATGACAGTTATTGATTTTCTTAGTCAATGATTTTTTAATGGGAATTTACTTTTGAGTTTAGGTTTTTCATAGGCTTGCTCGGTCTTGGAAGTGTTCCACGGACAGCATTTTTTAGTGATAAGGAAACATCATGTTTAATTTCTTTAATAAGTAACCTTTAGCATTTTGGTATACTTCTTGTGATGTTCTGGTGTTGGTTCACTCGTCAGTTAAATGTGAGCCACAGTGTGAAAAAGGAGGAAAGGCTCTAGGAAGGAAGTGGGTCAGGAGAGTCAGGGGTGAAGTCCTGGTGTTTGCTAGGGTCCTGAGGCACAGATAGGATTTCTCTATGAATACTGTTCTTTTGACACCATAAGCCGTTTGTGTACAGCATAGACTGAAAAGGCCCTACGTACAATTTAGAAGCATAACCATTTCCAAGGTTCTGATTCCCCTTTGATTTCTGCAGAGAAGGGGGTATAGGATGTGGGAGCGGCTTATTTCTGTCAAGGGAGATGGGCATTCAGTGGCCTTTGACCCCATCATTGGGAAGACTTTAGAAACCATGTTGGGTTTTTACAGTGTTGGGCTGAGTTGGCCTTCCTCCCACTGCGTGTGTGTGTAGTGGAGCTGGCCGTCAGAGCACCCCAGAACCAGGAGCAGTGGTTCTGTTACCTCTAGCTCAGCAAATTGTAGGTGATAACCTTGTGGTTTGGTGACTGGGTTGTCATTTCTTAGAGATGGATGTTGGAGTGGAAGAAATATTAAGTAAAAATGTTTGCAAACAGTACTGGGGGTGAAGGTAAGGACAAAAGTGTAAGTGAACAGAGCGTTGTAGCTAGTGCTCAGTAGGGGCTAACAAACAACAAATCAGTGGGTATGTGCACAGGGCTCCGGGTCAGATCTAGATTTGGATCTTGGCATTGCGTTACCTGAGGCCCTCTTTCTAAAATGGAGCATTATTACTGGTTATTACATACAGAGGTGGTTGTTACAATTAGGAGGAAAAAGATGCGTAAAAATATCACATGGGGCTGGAGAGATGGCTCAGTGTGTGGGAGCACTTTGCTGTTCTTCCAGAGTGCCTGAGTTTGGTTCAGCCACTAAGAGCACTTGCTCTTCTAGAGGGCCCAGGTTTGGTTCCCTGCACCCATGCCAGGTTCTTCACAATGGCCTGTAATTCCAACTCCAGGAGGTTCCAACTCCCTCTTCCGGCCTCCATGGGCAACTCCACCCACATGCACATATCCACACACAGACATACACACATAAATAAAAATAAAATAAATCTTAAAAATAACCTCACTTTAAGGAGACGTTGGAAGCACAGAACGGGGTGCCTGTAAACTGCTGACCCAGGGTGGGGCGTACAGCTCTTCGAGGCATCGATACAGCCTTAGCAGCAACACCGCCCCACGTGATTGGTAAAGATTTCAAAACACAAGCCAACAAGCCCTATGAGGGCTCTTAATTTTACAAAAGTTGCATGTGGGTCTTTATTTTTGGTGTGTGTTGGGTGTTTTATTTCCTAGTGAAAGTCTTCCTTGAAAGAGATCAGTGTGTTTGTTAGGGTGGTTGTGATGGGCCAGAGAACAGAGTGGTGAGGCACAGCTTGGTAGCCCAGCTTCACTATCACTTCAGAGACCGTGGAGCTTGTGAGAACTCAGGACCTGCTCTCCGATCAGCCTGGACTGTGGCTGTGGCTTGGCCTCCTGCTGAGGCCCTGGTCATGGGCCAAGCACTCTGGGCAACTGTATACACTCAGTAAATCTTATCTCTGTAACGATTTGGGGGTTTCTGGTCAAGTTGATCATTGATGAATTCAAGCTTAGCTGGGAAAGTTCCTTTTATCAATGACTTTTGCAGGCAGACATGTATTTGGCAGCATCTAAGAGAAAATTGAACAGCGGTTTGTACAAGCCAGGAGCACATCATCATCAGGAGCCAGGGCCAGATAGTCCAGGCCTCAGTAGCTGAGCAAGGAAATCAAGAGCTCAGTGTCTTCCCTCCTCCTGGACATCCCTAGTTTCAGACTCTGGCCTTTGGCCCCAGCTGTGC